TGAACTCTTCATATATTCACTGAGGTGACCAGGAGTTTCTGATGTAATGCATTGGCACAGCTGCCCCTGCACTTAAAAAAAAAAAAACACCACACATCCACATAAAAAGGAACTAAACGACTGAATAATGAACGCTCCCTTGAGCAGCAGTTGCTAATGTGGACTGATGGAGGGAGACTTTGTAGACGTGATGATTTGCAAACCTGCAGAATATAAATCAATAACTTGCAACCATAAACAATCAGCTCTGTGATTTTTACATTTACATTTCTGAAGAAAATGCAAATGGCATTTGTCCATGCAAAAAGATTTAGCACATTGCTTTTCATCACAAGCTAGCTTATCTACAGCAATAATGTTGGTGTGCTATGCATTTTCAGCTCTAGATTAATTATGATTGTACAGTAACCTGCATGACCGGGTCATTAGAGTGAAAACGAAAATTAGCCTCCTGTTGACTAATGTGATGGAGCTTCATTCTGTATTGGATTTAGTGTTGCTGATGTGGAAGCCATCTGGAGTGAACCTTTGAATAATACATGTGGAGGATGGTAGGAACCTGCCCTTTATGACAACAATCGTTAAATCTCTCTAATGAGATCTTACCTCCACAATCTCCACAATGTGAGAGTATGTAATAAAAAATAGATGTTACTAGTATCTACAGTAACTTCAGCTTCAAAAAATGTATTATTACTCACATGATCAGTAATAATTTATGCTTCTCTTATATTTTTATACAAATATTTAATGCAATGCATTATGGGAAGTAACATGATAGTGCCATCTTACCTGTTGCAACACAAAGGCTAATCTGGCTATTGGTATTCATGTTCACTTATGCATGAACAACCAAGATTCTACATCGTTTTTTTAATAAAGCATGACTGCGGCAGAGCAAAGTGCAAAATGAAGTTTACAAAAGAAATGTGGAGGCGGAATCCTACCCATAATCAGTGATGACAGGGTCCAGCCCGTCTTTCTCTATATTAGGTGACCTAAAAAAAATTAAAAAAAAAGGAAACAATCTTCTAGTTACTGCCACTATTCTCAGCCAAGAACTTCTCAAATTACATTTTTATGTTGAGTAGATAGCATTTCTTTATCAGTTAACAGAGTGTGTGTGCGTAAATGTGTTTCATTTCTAATTGATGTCAGTGTCACAGACAATAGACCTTGTGTGGAAACACGGGTTGATTTAAAATGTGGCAACACTCACTGGGATGGAGACGTGGGGCTGTCCAGTGACTCTTCAGTCTTGAGTTGATCCCTAAAAGCAGATGAATGCATGTGAACAAAATCTGATCTTTTATTCATCATTAATGAGCCATTATTTACTTTGTTTCCTGAACACACAAAAATATCTGGGAAAAAACTCTCAAGATCATATTTCATCAGCTTTGAACAGTTTCCCTAAACATGATACCCATGTGTCTCATAATGTGTGCACTGTTAGTGAACAGGAAGTAGCATTGACTGAAACTTCATTTCCCACTGAATAGCTATACAAATAGTTGTATTTTAGAAATTCATTTAAAAAAATCAGCGACTATTCAATTTAGCAAAATGAAAATTTTTCATACATTTTTCACATGTAACAAATTACGTTGTGAAAGGAACATCTACTTCTCTGTCATAAAACAATAAACAGTTAAGCATTAACAGACAGCAGCGCCTGTGATGTCATTTTTTTTTAACAGGAAGGTGGGGGTTTACCATGAAAGAACAGGTATCATCCAATCAGCTTGCTCCAAATCTCATCCATGTTATGACATCATCTGCTACATTGTTTTTGACATTAGGCCTTTTGATTAACCTGACAGTCTCTTACCATATTAAGGCTCACATTACTTTGCAACATACTAATGATAATGTTTCATATTATTCATTAATACTCTAATAGGCCTCTAATGACTGCTTATTCTATGGTGCCATTATATTAATGATAATCATGGCAATTAGTTTAAATGCATGTAATTCCCAAACTTAATTTCTTGTAGGACTCCTGTTTCCAACAAGGGGTCCATGAAGAAGGCTATATAAACTGAATATATACAAATGTCTTTTAATTTCTTTACATTTCAAGAGTATATACAAATAAAACTCAAACAAATGATCTGTTAAGCATTATAGTTATTGTACTTATTTAACTGTGTTATAGTACAGTTTTAATCTTGAGGCTCTCCCAAAAGAAAAAAAGAAGCAAAGAGCAGCAAATCACATCACTATTACTTAAAAGTGTTTACCCTTAATGCATGTCCTGTCTTCACATTAAGGGGTTGATTTTGGATTACACTTACATTATATGATATATAATGTCATATTCACCGTTAAATACAAGTATTGGGTACCACTTCACAGATAGCCTACTTTCATTAACATAACACATAACACATAACATACACATTGATGTTTATATATTTTATATTTCAATATACAACGACAAATAATCTGTTAAGCATTATGTTCTTTAAATTAAAATTACTATAAAGTGTTCCTATGAATGCCATCTGTACTGTGATGTAAGGAGGCAGTGATTTTTTAGAACACAAAATTTAGATCTACCCACCACCTGAAACCATAATACTGAAGTCCGTAATTCTCTCATTTATGCAAATTATCTTCCTGTATCTGCCGCACGGATCTCTCTCCACCTGACCAAAACGTGAAAGTTAGCAAACCTACTTTTTGTCGTCATTCTTCTTGTTACGTCTCCAGAAACTCATTCCAAAGAGGAAGAGAAGACAGTAAATCCTGTAAGACAGTGGAGAGTGTGCTAGTCACTACCTGGACATTCGTTAACGTTACCTGTCCTAGCCTACCACAGGTGAGCACTGAACTTCTGTTCGAGAGGTAGCAGCGGCCGTGTGTTTCTATACTGGCTTTTTTCAACATGTGAGGCAGACAGGGAGGTGTGGAGAAACCCATTTCCACAAATAAAGAGGTCCTTTGCGAAAACTGCTGGAATGCTGTGCTGCAACTCTTGCTTGGTCTTAAAGTCCTCCATGTTCACTATTCACAAAGTACTACCGAGTATTTTTGTCAATTATACAACGAATTCCGGTGGGTATAAACTTGTCTATTAGCGCCACTAACACGCATCAGAGCCAACGATAAAAAATAATAAAATACTAAAGTATTCAAAAGTCACCAAGAAATAATGACATTTTGGTAAATAAACGTATTTTGTTCATGTAACGTGCAATGCTGATATCAGAACTTCAACTGCCAGCTGTTGCTATGGTTACCACCTTAGGCAAGCACAGTCCGTAACTTTTTTTGGGTTAAAAATGATCCGAAATCAATATTTGAGCAAGTACATAACCAGCCAGTGTTCGAAACTATCGCCTTACTTTAGCCAAATTCACAAGGGTAAGCTTATGATAATGTTTTCTAATTTGAGTGGTGGTAGTTTTTTTTTTTTGAATCACTCAAATTCAACACTTTACAGTAGCCAGGGGGTGATGGCGGATTGTAATCCAGAAAGGATTATGTGTTTATGAAACACATGTGAATGAAATTAAATTATATTCCAGTTTTAAATGTGCTTCTGATTACAGATAGCCTGGGCTTACACAAGATTTGAATTTTAAAGACAACCAGTTCGAAGGGAGCATAATTTGCTTTTTGGGTTAAAATAATTTCTTATTATTAAATTTGAGTGGTATGACAATTAGAGATTATTAGAAATCGAAATCTACTCGCTTATACACACTATACTCATAGTCACGCAATGCTGATGTTGTTATTAACATTAACAATTTGAGAATAAAGTATAACAATAATAATAATTTGCACGGTTTGTGGCAAACGTTACTTGTTCAGATGACAATATCCAGTGAAAATGCTTATTTGAGTCATATATTCCATGACGTAGGCTAGAATCTGTGAGTGCAAAGTACAATATCCACACCGGTGCGGTGACTGACTGCCACACATACTCCTCAAAACATTACATTCATCCACACTGGAGCCGTGCCGCCGCACAACCCACCCAAGGAAGATAATTCGGCATACAGCTGCAATTGCAGATTTTCGAACAGAGATGGCGACAAAGAGGCAAAACTTACGGACTGCAGCTTTAATTATATTTTGTGGTTATAAAATCAAAATTTCAGTGTTTACATTACATTTACATTTAGTCATTTAGCAGACGCTTTTATCAAAAGCTTTTAGTCTGTCTATTAGCTTTGAATACTTTATTCCAACCTGATTCAATCACAAAATGTAGCTATTTTATAAGGTGGTGATTTAATATGAATTCGTACAATACAATTCGTAAGATTTCTTAGAAAACAGCAAGCATGAATTCCACCCCTAAATAATGTCATTTTTTTGGGGAGGGGGGGGGGTCTAAAAGTCTCTTTGATCAAGTAAAAACGTGCGACCGATTTAAACGGAAAATGCTCCAATGGCCAGCTGTTGCTATATAGATAAACTTAATAAAATTGTGTGGTCTTAACATTTGTCTAGCTTTGATCCATTATGCCAACCCCATCCCAAAACTAAAAAATCAGTTTTACAATGGAGTGATTTCATATGAATTCGTACAATGTGTTTTATACAAAAATGTACACTATTTAGAAAGTAACAGACATGAAGATTCACCGCTTAACCTAACCGTCAGTGGGCCAAGAGCAGATTGTACAAAATCATAAATGAAATCGTACAAATTAGTCACTAATTCGGCAAAACATAAAATAGTTATGAATTAACATGAGTGTTGATGACTATGCTAATATTCCTAAAACCTTTAACAGTCAAAAAAAAAAAAAAAACAGCAAAAATATTGATGACTATTGGTATTTGTCCAATCAAATGTTTTATTGAAAAACTAACATTTTCTATATGCCCCCCAAAACTTCATGTTTCAATTTGAATTAGGCCAATTTAGCAGACTGATAAAAAGTACGAAAAGAAGCGACACCTTATATTTTTAATAGTTTAATATTTATTTTGTTTGTTTTAATTACATGTTACTTAACATAAACATTTGCCTCCAATAAAGGGACATTAAAAAAATAAAATACAATTAGCCTGTTCTTAAAAGGCAGTCAGTGGCCAACATATAAGTGGTTTTCTTTTAGAGGCACACAAAGCTTATACATACATACATACATACATACAAACATAATCAACAACAGACAGAGCATAAAAACGTTTTTAACAATATGCAGGGCCGATAATAGAGAAGCAGCAGCCATAAACAGAAGGCCAAGCATTGGTTTGAAATGAGGAGTGCAGGTGTTTTTTAATGCTGTATTTCGGCCTGATTAACAGTAATGCTCCAAATCTTCATAAATTGCATGAAAATGCTGGGTTGGCCAAACAAAAGCCAGATTAGCCACAAGGTTTGCTATTCCCTTCTATCATTATTTTCATTTCCGCCACATTTGTCTGTGCCCAAAGCTAAGATAGAGTCCTGAACCAAAAAGCAAATATTGATTTCAAAGGCCAATACTGGGAAAAAAAACATTGTCTGACAAAGCATTCAAAAAAGGAGCACATTCTTCCATTATGCTGTCAGATGCTTTCATATATAAAGTCTGTGTGAAATAAAACCTTCACAAAGCGCATCTATTGTAGTCACTGAAGACTCCAAGCAGCAGGTTCTTGTCTTTCATGCAGTGTGTTGCATTTCAGTGAGTCCACCTACTGGTGAAACTACATACAGACAACTAAAATGTTTATGACATGTTGCAAATATAATAATTATAATGATAAATGCACTGGTATTAAGTTTAAATTCACTGTCTGTAAAGCTTATACCAATTTGTGCACACGAAAATGCAACCAACTGTGCACTATTGATCCCCAGAGTGTGTTTAGGCATCTTTTGAAATGTGGGAGTGACTGAATGTTGTGCAAGATGAATAAAAGAGCAGCTGGTTCTTATATCCTAATTGACACTGGAAACATTGCATTGGAGCATTAAGGGTGCTTTTGAGAAGAGTAATGCTATTAAATGTTTAACAATTTATCATCTTTGATTCACCACAAGCTGATTTTCTCTCTCCAAGGCAAGGCTGAACAGGTAGGCACTACAGAAAATATCACTGCCTGACTTAATATTGCTCAATTTTATATATATATATATTTTTTTTTATTTTATTTACTCATAAAATGTTTTCTGAAACTCAGTTAACAAGACTTGCTCCACATTTTGTGCCATATTAAATCACCTTTGATCCAATTGCTTCGGCATTTGTCATTATAGGAATAAGACAGAAGGGACATTTTTATTAAGCAAGCTTTCTATATTCTACCACTTTTTTTTTTAATATAAAATACAATATGTTTTAAGGTATGAATACACCGTAGTACAAGATTACTGACAAACAATTCACAAATATGTACATTTTCATTATTTTTATCAGCTATTTATAAATTTGCAATGTCAAATAATGTCTCTTAGTAGCTTTTCAAGATTACGATTCTTCAAAAGGACAGAATGAGTAAAGTATAAATGCTGTACTGTTAAGATTATAACGGTAAAACGGCGTTTACATGGTTGTTCTTTTCTAAAGTTCATCAGTGTTCTCTTTTAGCATGGTATAAATTCAGTTGCAGTAGTGGTTTATGTAAGCTGATAATGTTACAAGCACCTCAGCTTCAATTATAGCTGAAATCCACTGATCAGGTTGCGGTAATGAGGTTTTATAGCTTGTGGGATTCGTTCCTGAGAGTGGACAGACATGCCCACAATAAAAACCTCTTGTTTCAAAGAACTATTTCTGAAACTTTGAAAAGCGAAAGAAGCAGCCCAGTTTGGCTGCTTGTAAACTTTGAACAAATGTGTTAATATTACCCAAAAAAGGAAGAGAACGAACCTTGGAACACTTGTTATGGATTTCTTTAAGCCTCCATGTAACAGATCTAAATACATTTACTCCACTGGTAACCTTATTATAATCACTCTACAATAAACTTCAAATAGATGGGTATAGATTTGTTCAGAAACACTTGTTCAATTACACTGAACTGGACATCAGATCTTTAAAAAGAAAAAAAAAACTTGAAAGCGGCAGATTAGTGGAGCTCCCTTGATTTGAGGTTATTTAAAAACAAAGGGAGTCACACCAGAGGTTTCAAGCCATATAGGCTGCAGTGAGTCTGTTACCTTTAACTCCATCTTGACTTGGCCTTCATACATTATTCCAGCCAACCGGACACCGGGAGAACTCAGTGGACATTCAGAGGGAAACCTAGATGATTATCAAGTGGCTGGAGATGCAGGTGGAAGGATTCTTCTAATTATGGTGGTTCCAGCTCTTCCCCTGTTCCTCCTCCTCCTTGTTAATGTGGCTCGGGTGGTGGTGGTGCTGTATCCAGCTTGGGTCAGGACAGCTCAGATTTGCTGAGGGCTATCGCCAGCTCCAGATCCTCCTGCTCCTGCTGGGTCAGACGAGCCACACGCTCCCTCTCTTCTCTTTCACTCTCCCGCTTCGCCCACTCTATCATGTCCTCCTCTGTGGGGTACTGCTCCACACACACACATACACCATAACCCCATCAGACACCCCATCAATTTGCACCTGCTTGAAGTAATATTTCTCAATTTTTTTAGTCTAATCTAAGTGTCTAAATGAAGAGGGGTCATGCAACTATTACAGGTAGTGTAAATAATGTTTTCTAAAAGTACCAACTTTAAATGATCAAAGACATTTAAATGATTAGAGTTATGGACTAGTAGGATTGAGATCACACAAAGATGAAAATTTGCTGAAAATTTACTCACCCTCAGGCAATCCAAGATGTTGATGAGTTTGTTACTTCATTGGAACAGATTTGGATAAATTTACCATTATATCACACGAACACACATCTTTTTGCTTCTGGAGTCGAGTGGATTACTTGTGGATTATGGTGATGTTTTTATCAGCTGTTTGGACTCTCATTCTGACGGCACCCATTCACTGCAGGAGATCCATTGGTGAGCAAGTGATGTAACGCTATATTTCTCCAAATCTGTTCTAATGAAGGAACAATCTCATCTACATCTTAGATGGCCTGATGGTGAGTAATTACTTAGCAAATTTTCATTTTTGGGTGAACTTTTTTTTATGCTACAACATACATAACAGTCTGTTAAATATTACAGTTTTATGTAACTATATAAATGAGATACATTTCATTTAATCTATTTAAAGGAATAGTTCAAGAATAGTTAACAAATTCATTATGATTTAAATAATAAATCATTTGAATATTATGTTTTATTTATTTCAGTTTTTTTTATATTATTAGTGAACTTTAAATTAATTGAATATAATTTAAATTATATTTAATATTATACATAATATTACATTTCTAGCTTGTACTTATTTGAACAATGCCTAAAACTTGGTATTACAAGCACTTCCTGTGTCTGTTTGCCTCTTTAAGAAGAATCACTTTATGTATTCCCCAATTGTAAGTCGCTTTGGATAAAAGCGTCTGCAAAATGACTAAATGTAGAAATAAATTAATGAATGGATAAAATGTATAATATTTACATTTACTTTTTTCATTAATTTTCTATTATTGGGTGAACTATTCCTTTAAGTATTGTTAGGTCAATGTCAACATCACCAAAGCAGTTCTTCATCATCCAATAGGGACAAATGTGGAAGCAATAAGGGAGGGAGGAAATAAATAAAAAACAGTGATAATGTGGTACAGCTATTGACACAGGAGGATGAGAGATACAAGATGTGTTCCATGATGCAATCCATAAAGCCTTTCATCTAACATTGGCTCACAAGCCTGCAGACACATTACTTCATATTAAAAAATGTTTTCTGTTACTGAAGGACTCCTTATTTTAGTATCTGCGACTATCACTGTTAAAAACAAGGTTTTATAGAATCACTTTAAAAAATGCAAATATAGTCACCCACATGATTCAAAAAACTCTGTGGATCACAAAATTACACATTATTTTAAAATGTTCTACTTTGGGTTTGAAATGGTACAAAGAAGTGAGATATAACGACTAATGAATAATAAAATGATGACCAATCAATAATGAAATTTCATTTTTCACCTAACTGTTTATGATGTACTCATGTGCCAAGGCCTGGATTGCTCATATAGCCCATCATGCTGAACATGCAGGTATTTCACACAGATGTGAAGGTGTGGACAACCATGGATGGAGAAATATAATCTCAACAGTTAGCTGGTAAGCATTTCAACACACAGAACACCAGATCATGACAACTTGACATGACAACAAAAATAATCTAAAGATGCCTCTTCTGAGGTCTCTTCATTTGCAAAAAGTCATTTTAAAATATCAGAGAAATGTCATTATAAAACTTAATTTATTTGATGCATCATCTGAATAAAGAAAGTTCACAGTGGGAAAACATGAGAAGACAAGCTCTTTAATTTTAAATTTAAAAAATAGTAATACAGAAAGGAGCCAACATGTGCTGTCAGCATCCTAGCTGATTAATTTATTTAGCAAATTTTCTGTATAAAAACAAAACAGACTGTATTTTTTCTTTTTAAAAAAATAAATAAAAATGGTGCAGAGAATCATGGGATGTAGATGGAACAAGGAAGTGCTCTACCAGTGAATGGGAAGTAGCAGCCCAATAAAACAGGTGGACACAGTGATTAGTTCGTGCAGTGCAAAGGAAAGGCAAGGCAAGTCAGTGAACCAAGGTACAGCGGGGCAATGAATGTGCAAGATGGAATCAAGCCTCAACCAATGGTGGAGAACATGACAAAAGAACATGGGGGGTAAATTGAAAACAGCCAATAGCAAGCAGCCCCGCCTCTCCTTCCACAGCCAGTGAGAACTTGTGTATGATGTTAGGCATGTTGTGATGTCATAAATATGTAGATTTAAATACATTCTTTTTGTAAATTAGCTTAACAGAAAAAAATTTAACACTTTTTTAGTAGAAGCATAAGCCTGGATTTAGAATAGATAAATAATTTCATTAGAAGCTCATTTATATGTACAAATAAACATTCCATTAAAAAAATGACAATGTTTTGTGGCTTTTCACAAACGGATTATAAAGTAGAGTTTGTCGGAATATTGGATGACAAGTTTTCCTGGAAAGAAATGCAAAAAGAAAAAGGCTGTGTGGGGTCAAGAGGTCAAGGCTGCTGCTTGGAATGAGGTGAAATGTCACTACTGGGGGTCAGGAGGGGGAGAGGGGGAGGAGCTCACTTTGTCAAAGCTGGCGAATCGGTTGGGGTCGCGTGGGGCTTGGTGGGGTGAGGAAGGGGCGAAGGGGTCTGGTACCGAGTCTTTAGCGGGAAGGGAGGAGAACTCTCCAGAGCCCTGAGCCTTGAACAGACCACGCCTCTGAAATGACTCAGACGACTCCGATCGGTGGATTAATCGGTTGGGGGCGCGGGGGGCTGGGTGGGGTGAGGAAGGGGCGAAGGGGTCTGGTACCGAGTCTTTAGCGGGAAGGGAGGAGAACTCTCCAGAGCCCTGAGCCTTGAACAGACCACGCCTCTGAAATGATTCGGACGAATCCGATCGGTGGATGTTGGACCGTTTACCTTCAAGAACATACAACAAAATAGCTTAAGGTACAACAGAAATGTCAATTCAATCGTATCTGGTTCATTCTGATAAAACACACAGAACAGGAACCAGCTCACCTGGGGGTGGAGGTGGAGGTCTGGTAGGTGTTCCGGTTTTGGGCGGTAATGCTGGAGGAACATCTGACTGAGTGTCCTCCTTATATAAATTCTTGTTTGTACTTGAGTCGAATGGATCGCTGCCATTAGACTGAAAGGCAAAGAAGAAGTTCAACAGCTGCAGCCCATATTCAACCTGATTTAAATCATGTGGATAAATTGACTGGTAATAGAGCTGGAATACTGGGCTTCTGTTTATGTTAATGATCCTTACCTTTGCTAAGCTGCTGAAGTCTGCAAAACCTCCTCCAAAAGTCTCATTGCCAAATACTGCAGCAAAGGGATCTGAAACAAAGTAAGGTACACAAACAGAATCTATTAAACAGATATTTTTGATCATTTTTGATAGTTCATGAGCAGAATCAACCCAATGTAGGCAGTTACAAACTGAAGCAAAACGTAAGGATGTGAAAAATGATGCAATTATGTTTCTACTCCAATTCGTTGTTGAAATATAAACATTTAAATGGTGGCTGTCATAAATGGTGGCTTGTTTTCATGATAGATATATTAATGCATTAACATACATTAAATAATGAAAAAAAAAAAAAAAAAAAAAAAAAAAATTTTTTTTTTTTTTTTTTTTTTTTTTT